ATACATAGAAAACATAGAAAATTATCAATGAACAGGTCTTTTATTCATGTTCTTCATCTTGACAGTTGATGTAGGGTCTTCAACAATAAGATAATCATTCATACCCTACAACAAGGTCAAGACGGCCCCTAGCGTCGACTTCAGAGGTACCTTTGATAAAAATAAACCACAGTTCACCTTCTTGCTCCCCACCCGCCTCGGAATGCCAACTTGTGCGATGCTTGTGTACGACGGTTCTCCAGTCGAAAGCACCAGGGATACAAGAAAAATGCAGTAATTTTGAAAGACATCGATCGCCACTAAAATATGCCTTGAAGTTACACACGACTCTTCATTGCATGCCATTAAACCAAACATATCATATGTACAGCCTAAATAGTAAAACAAAATTATCACACAATAAATACTGTCTTACAGTCTACAAGCTCTAAAATTGTACGACAGCTCTCAGGATCTGCATTAATTGAAAACAAATTTCCGTGAAACTACAAATGATAGACTAAAAACAATATATCTTCTTTGCACATTGACTTTAAAAACTGGAAAGGGGGGGGGGGGGGGGGGGGGGGGGGTTAACATGGAATTTTGGAATCTTGAAAATCACGTCCCATATATGTATTTCATTGCAAAATCATAACCCATTCATTTATTTCTCGGTTTATGACATACCATTTTTGACATCTGAATCATTGATTAAGGATAAAACAGCATATACACAAGTATCTAATCGAAAGATGAACAATGTTAAACAACAGAGAGGGGATCAACTGGAGTATACGGAACAAATAGTGCGGCAGAAGTGTTTTTTTGTTTGACGGTAAATTGGTTTTGCATATTATTGATAGGTTGACAGGTTTCATAATTTACCCACTTAGGTCGACAGGATGACATGGTCAACAGGTTGACATGGTTGACAGATGTTATGGTCGACAGGTTGACATGGTCGACCGGTTGACAGGTTTTATAATAGGGTTTTGATTATCCCAAGGTTGGCAGCTTAACATGTAATGTTTATGAGCTATATTAATGTTTTACCAACTAAGTCAGTGGAATCACCCACAACACAGTACTAGTATAAGTCCTAGTATATAAATACCTTCATCAAGGATTTGTATAGTACTATACAAATCCTCGGCTTGCCTTCATTTAGGAAGACCAGTGGCGGATCCAGAGGGGGTGTAGAGGGCGTACGCCCCCCCCCCTTTTGCTTGCACATTTTTTTTTTTGTAAAATGATTAATCAGACTAGACTTCGTGAACTTTGCCATTTCCCGTGTATTTAATTTTTATGCGACAATTCTTTACTTATAAAGATATTTTCGCTCGTATTTACTTAAAATATTATTGATTATGTCAAAGTCATGCATGTGATTCTCTACGGTGGAGTTGACCAGTTCGTCGAAAAAACGTTACTCAGTCATTTTGAAATTCAAATTACAGTAACACATTGCTTAGGCTGAGGATGACAAGCATGACGCCTTCAAAGCGACAAAGTATTGAGCAAGAACGTATTGACTTCTATTTCACAATTCCACCCAACAGAAAGTAATATTCTATTACACTCTCATGAAAAAAAAATTTCCACAGCTATATTATTTACCTACGAAAACATGTTTAACCCCACACGCCCCAGCCCATTAATAACATTGCCGAATAGTGATCCCCAGTCAGTAAGTTCTAGATATAGATTTAAAGTATAAGGTACGGACCACTGATGATTTGATCTGAGGGGCAGTCTGAGATATTTTAGAGAAAAAATTCTGACCCTGATTTTTGCCTTAAACAAAAATTCTGGCCGTATCTGGATTGAAAACAACAATAATCTTGTCCACTATTTTCTAGTTTGCTATTAGAAAAAAATATTTTCAACAGAATTATTTAGCATTAAATAAACATGATGAATAAAAAACGGGCGTAATTTTTTTTTTGGGGGGGGGGGGGGGGGGGTTGCATGTGAATCCAATATCTGACCGGAATGTCTGTTTCGCCGAACTGATATACTGAATACTTTTTTCAAGGCCCGACTGCAACCTGCCTGCTGGGTGTGGCCTATATGTCTCCATGTGTCGACCGTCATTCACAACTTCATTGTCATTTCCGACTCATTCGTAGCCTTTGGTTGATTTGGAACCCCTCACTTCACTTGTTGGGTGAAACATTTCAACCAAACATTTGGAGAAAAATTGCTTGTTTGTCTTTCTTCGTGTCGGTCGTATTGTAAATTTCATTGAATAGCCGTATATCTTGTTTACAACAAGAAATCTGCGAGGTTATGCTAACTAACCATACAACAAACGAGAATTTTCCATGTCCATTTTTTACTGACAAATCCCACATCAAATATATTAATAAGTACATAGCTTTGGATCCATCCAATCATTTTATAATAGACAATTGATGGAGAGAATACGGCACCAAAAATGTCCAACCCCTACACTTTAACTATAAAATGCATTTTACACTTATTTTATGTTTTTTAGCCAAAAAAAGGTCAAAAAAATTTTAATACTACACCCTGGGACTATTATACGTGCCTTGATCTTATAATTTCGGTAATTTGTTTTTTTATTTTATAGTTATTCGATATGATAATCCTTAATTTAAACATGATTACTATAATGATAAAAGATATCTCGATCTTTGACAGTTGTTATTAATCACTAAATCCCGTCTTAAGTGTAAAAAATGACACATAAAGATAGAAATTTTCAGAATGAAAATAGCGTGGGGACGATGTGGAAAAAAGTATATGATTCATAAAATTTCTTATAACTGTTGATTGAAAAGGGATACGCAAGTTCGGTTTGTTGTAAAATCATATTTATAGGTTATAGTTTGGATTTGCCTATTTTTATTGTCACTTTTTTCAAATAAAAAGTGGAATATAAATCTCTTTCTCATTACAACCGGAACCCACATGCACGGATCAAATAAATTATACTGTTCCTATAAAATTACCTACTCCTTTTTATGTGTACAATATTTTTATTATAATCAGGGTTAATGTTGCTTAGTAATGGTCTTCTTGTGGCATTAGCATATGACTTTGTGAAAATATGTACACTAGGTTCCATAATTAGAACTACAAAAGTAGGCCCGTTCACAGCCATATTGAAATTTTGGTGTAAACACGAAGTTCACAAAAGTTCAAAACAATGTGGCTATATCTTTATTTGACCCGGGTAACTTTTGTTGGTGTCATCCTGGTTTGCCCTTTTTTAATTACATGCATATGTAGACATAGGGGGATTTGTTGTTTTAACAATTATAGTTTATTTCTGAGTTATAGTCATATTTTTTACCTTTTATTTTACCTGTAAAATTTAAAAAAAGATACTACAATCTGCTATTAAATCAAGGAAAAAGCAAAAATATTTTATATTTTATAAAGTTTTTAGCAGGAAAATGTATTGTTTTTAACAAAAAACAAGTAAAAAATAGACCAATGTGTGTATAGAAAATGTATATTATTTTTACACTTTATCAGCGAATAGTTTTCATTGTTGGTACATTCTGAAAAAAAAGTAAAAAAGTAAAATAATGAAAGTGAAGATTAGAAGAAATGCCATTTAAATTTCTCTTTATTATTCATTTTTTATTTTTTTGTATTCAGATACAGAGTAATAGACACCAGACTCCAACTACTGAAAGACAGATACCAACAAGGACTCATCGTGATAGACTACGCTGACGCAGCATCCCATCTTTTCCATTTGAACTGAACAACTTCGTGAAATATTGTAATTACTGACTTTGTTAATATATTGTTTTGTGACTTTTGAAATATATATATAAAAAAGATTGCATTTCCCATCATTATACATATAGTGCCCCATATTACTTATTTTACCATTTAGCTTTATTTATTTCCTTATGCAATGCATTTATATAAACTTGATTCATATATTATATAAATTATGATTGCAATAAAAGACAACTTGTATTGATGTATTTATATGAAAATCATTCAAAAACTATGGAATAATTAAGACACTTTTATAACTGAATGTCAATGTTTAATCATTAGTAACTGTTGTACACAAATGAATCATTTGAATTGATATTAAATTATTGAGAGAAAAAATATTTGATTTATTTATTATTTTTCTATACAAATGAAAATGTAAAATAAAAAATACCCGAATATATAAAAAACACTAATAAACTATATATATACCCAAGTTGTAACAGACTATACAATTGTATGCTCATTAAACCTTTTGTCTTTTTTGTTTTCTTTACTAATGGATAATTGGTATAATTAAAAGTGGGCAAACCAGGAGTAAACCACTTTTGTTATATTAATTAGTTATGAACTGAAATTGTAAACATTGTTTTTATTGCACACTTATTGTTTTTATCAGGATTAATTATGATCTGTTAACCTTTGACACGTTGTTTTCTTAGCGGTCAAGTAAAGCGCCGGCATTTCGACTATATCTGGGTTTTTTTCAACACTAATATATTGACTACTTATTAATAATTTTTCATGAACAATATATATTTTTTGCATTTAAACTAATAAATTTGATAATTATTTTTTTATTTCAAATCCACCAATTTTAACAGTATTATATATATGCTGACTTGTTTGCCGAAATCTATTGTTTACATTCATGTACCGAATGCTAATTTACTACGTGACACGATAAGCTGTCAATCAAAACAAAAAATCAATAATCCGCTATCGGGCAATGAAATCTCAACAGATCGATCAGTTTCCAGTCCCGTTAGTATAATAGTCCCAGCTACACCCCCCTTTCCAAAATCCTAGATCCGCCCCTGAAGACACTCCCCCGCGTTAGAAAAAGGGACGACAAACTGTAAGAATTTTTTGTAATTATCCAATATTTAGAAAGTATTATTAGTTTTACAGTTATATATCATTAATGTCTTACAATGTTTTAAAATATATCAACGGCGCTCCGTAATTGTGCTCCAACGTAGGAGGACAATAAGTTTGAAGCATTCTTTTAAAGATAGATTTCATGTGTCATTCCCTCTACCAGAAAACGTCCTTTTGAACTTGGCATGGGTTAAACTGTTTATTTATTTTCTCTTTCATTTACTGTAAGCTTTTGGAACTAAATTGACATCATACAACTGTCATCCTCTGTCAACAGCTCCTGAAAACATAATTATATAGCTATACCTATTGTGGTAAACTTTCCTCTTGTGCTGTTGTGTGATAAACTCATAATGTTACGTAACTTCGTAAGCTTAAAACATTCGAACAACTGTTTTAAAAGGAACGCAATGCAAGCAGGCATATGAAGCACACATTTTTTTGTCTGATGTTGAATGGCCCTGAGGGAGAACACTGGTTTATGCCACAAAACTTAATCTGTTGTCAGTGTTGAGGGAATAAAACCCCAAAAAAAATCTAGGTTTTCTCCCATTCTAGTTGGCCCTCTTTCACATTTGCACCCTGGGTGTTAGCACCCTAGGTCCATTTACATACTTTTTAAAGGTTTTTTGTGTTTTTTTTTTGTTTAGTAATGCTTTAAGGTATAAAACCACTAATTCATAGCCCCATTGCTTTCTATGTTAAATTCTGCAATTTCAAGCATTAATGGCTACTTTGTCTTAAGTTCAAATAAAGTGGCAGTTATTTCATGTCTAAACTGTACCTTATCCTGACTTGTGCTGAAAAAATCAACATACCTTTAATTGCATATTAGAGGGTACTGGTTCCCGGAAGTTTGATAGTACAAAAACAGGAACTTCTGATCTGAACAACAGGCCAAATGAGCCCTCCTATTAAAATTTCATATACTTCTTTATTATTCAAATTAAACTTTCAACAAGGGTTCCACAGTGATCCCAAGTCCCCAAGCTTTCTTTTGATACTAAAACAACCCAAATATTCCCACTATTGACAAAGATACAGCTATGTGTAGGAACTATTTTGTTTAAAATATGTACTACTTTCTTGTATGTTCGTTCCGACCGGGCCTGAATTAGTGGTTCTATACCTATACCAGCACCAAACTTGTTATATTGACTTCTGCTGGACTTAATTTCCTTCTATGATCTATTTCTAGCATAGAAAAACACATAAAACTTTTGTCAAAACACTATATCACTGAATTCAAGCTCAAATTGGACTGGTAGTAACATACGCGTTAAACAAAGAAAACTACATATGGATACTAATAGTGACAGATATGACACTTTTTCAATTTTTACCAGTTCTGATTTGTTAATATCTACTCAAATAACAGTGTTCTTACCAATATGTCTTATTTTTATCAGAGATTCTTCATTGAATATAAATACAGTGGTCCAAATATAAAATATAATTGATAATTGTGTCCCCCCTTTTTTCTACATGTTGGAAAAGGAGAGTGATTTGGTAAAAAACCATACTTTTATGTATAAACATGGCTCAACAAGAGCAATTTATGTATATCCAAGCTAGACAACTTGCTAAAATGGTTATAAAATGCATTTCAAGTGAGATTTTGGAATTCCTATATAAGTATAAACCAGTTTTCCTGGAAATAAATAATTCACTAAGAAACACAATAAAACATGAACACTCATTAGATAATTTGACCAAAAACAATATTTATACTATAAACTAGTCATAATATACAAGTTGCATTGGTTTCAGTGTTAGATAATCCAAAAATTAAAATTTCAGGTAAAATCTTAACTGTGTGCATGCTAAATGACCAAAAAAGGCTAAAATACCTTATTGTAGCAATTTGAGGGCTGTAATTTGACAGTAACATAATTGTTACATAAAAAAATTAATGTTACATGATTCCTGACAACAAATGTGACCAATTTTCACTGTAAAGGGTATGATTTCTAAAAATAGAATTTCACATGCCTGTCAGTAATAGGTATAAAACCACTAATTCATAGCCCCATTGCTTTCTATGTTAAATTCTGCAATTTCAAGCATTAATGGCTACTTTGTCTTAAGTTCAAATAAAGTGGCAGTTATTTCATGTCTAAACTGTACCTTATCCTGACTTGTGCTGAAAAAATCAACATACCTTTAATTGCATATTAGAGCGTACTGGTTCCCGGAAGTTTGATAGTACAAAAACAGGAACTTCTGATCTGAACAACAGGCCAAATGAGCCCTCCTATTAAAATTTCATATACTTCTTTATTATTCAAATTAAACTTTCAACAAGGGTTCCACAGTGATCCCAAGTCCCCAAGCTTTCATTTGATACTAAAACAACCCAAATATTCCCACTATTGACAAAGATACAGCTATGCGTAGGAACTATTTTGTTTAAAATATGTACTACTTTCTTGTATGTTCTTTCCGACCGGGCCTGAATTAGTGGTTCTATACCTTAACAATTAAGACATGAAAGATAATAAGATTTTATTGTTTTAAAATAAAGTAACATTTTAAAAAAGTAAACGGTTTTCTTTTCAGTGTTTTGAGAATTATTTTGACGAAATGAAAAAAGAATATTGTCATGATGTTAAAAAGCCAAGTTCATTCATCTAAGGCTTTTAAAAGAAAGGTGAAAGATATCAAACAGTCATCAAACTCATCCCAGTGACATTGAAGCTTGAAGCAATCATAAACATCAACAGCTCACACAGTCTTTCAAAGCATGCACTATTCCAAATCAAAACGAGCACTAAATATTTAGTAACTACACCAAAGCTAGTTATAACAGCAGTCATGATTTTCAAACTCATAACAGTTCTCATGAATAATTAACAGTTGATAATTTACCATCTAATCACAAAAAAATAATTCTTCATTAAAAAAATTCATGCAATTTTATTTTATAAATATAAAAATATAAATATTTTGATAAATACATCTTAAAAACATCTAATAACTCAAACTGTATTTGAAAAAAAAATGGGTGCGAACGTGTGGGGTGCAAACATGTAGGGTGAACGTGTTATGGCAGCGGATGGACCCGATACCTAAAATCATCATGCACTTTCAATGAAATTAATTTATTCACACATGAAAAATTTGATCACCTTTAATATTGTCATCAGATTTTGAAGACTTATTGATTGTGCAACTCCTTATGCATAGTCACTGACAATTTTCAGACCCAGATTGACATCTGACTTGCTAAAACCAGTGCTTTGGGCTGTCTGTTGTGAGAGTTCTTTGCTCTGTGTTGAAGGCCTCACTGTTACTTTGAGATTAAGAACAGCACTAAAAGCACTGTTCCTTTCCTCTTTTGTGTTTTTTGCTGTGCACATACTGATTTTATGTCATGGATACCCATATCCCTTCTTTTCTATTTTATTAAACTTTTTATATCTCTCATAGAACTAAAAGTTAGACTAATTCGACTAGCACTCGTTCCTGTCAGGCTAGTGATGTGTAAGTAAATGTACTGGAAACCCTTGGGTAATGAGGTTTTTCAGATGATTTCAACCCCTGAATACAGCCTTCATCTTCATAACACATCAACTTGTTCTCGTCCTGTAATATTTGCCACTGAATGTTTATAACCAATCCATTATCAATATCATATTCGTCCAATCTATTATGTATCTTATTTTAATATTATAATGGAAAATGTTTTTTGTTTTGTAGATATTTATTTACTGTACATGGTATAAAGGATGAAGATATGTGTTAATGACACAGAATTATGAGTAAAAATGTCTTGTGTAATTATATTTACCCAAGACTAAGAATTCATCTTTGTACAGTTATTAGGTAAAGATACATTTTTTTGAAGGATTATTTAAATAAGACATCTTCAGGCACGTTCAGGGGGATAATTAAATGAATAGTAATTTCATAGGGAATTTTAAATTTAGATATATACAAGGAGCAGGGAATTTTCGCCTTTGATACAATAAGTCAAATTTGCATTTTGACATGACAGATTGTAATGAAATGTCAATAAAGTGTCAAGATCACTTGACAAAAGTTTCATTTGAATTTTGAGTAATGTTTTAATTGTCATTTTTATCGATTTATGAGATTTGAACATCAATAATCAACTGTTGCCAATATTTTGCACTTTTGGATCCTTTTAACATGTTTAAGTTACCAAATGAATGAGATTATAAAATTTACACTTCATACAGTAAGTCAAACAAGTAGCATCACTGGAGAGATATTTATTGTTGAAATGCGTATCTGGGGCAGTAAAATTGTTAGGGTTAATGTTACTGCATCGACCGATTTTGCATGAAGATTTTACATACAATATTAAAAAAAGATCGATTGAAGAAAAATACAGATTTATTTTGAAGAGACATAGATATATGTTTAATTTTAAGAGAGAGGTGGAAAATTTACACATAGTTCAACTAGTCAATTTTAATAAATTTTCAAGAAATTTATGTATCCTTATTGTGTAAAGATTGATGAAAAAAGCTTGATTTTTACTGAAGCATAAATTTGTGTAAATTGTCTTTTTAGAGTTATGAAACATGAATCACGAAAAAGAAAGAGGAGAATTTTCACACATTATATGTTAACTCTATCATGTCCTTATATTTACTACCTCATCTCAGTTTCACTAAATTGCATGAAGTTTATTTACAAAAACTCTACCAATACAGGTCAAATGCAGATTTCATCCTACTGTTATCATGAAACTCATTTTGGAGATTTTCAATGTTGATATTATTACATAAAGTCTGATTTAGGGGCATTATGTTTTTCGGTCTGTGCGTTCATTCGTCTGTTTGTTTGTTCGTACGTCCGTCCATCTGTCCCGCTTCAGGTTAAAGTTTTTGGTCAAGGTAGTTTTTGATGAAGTTGAAGTCCAATCAACTTGAAACTTAGTACACGTGTTCCCTATGATATGATCTTTCTAATTTTAATGCCAAAATAGAGTTTTGACCCCAATTTCATGGTCCACTGAACATAGAAAATGATAGTGCGAGTGATATTATTACATAAAGTCTGATTTTTAAATATTATTTATTAAGCATTTTCTCCTCATTTAAATTTAAAGAACATTAAAAATTTGCTTTTTCACTAATGTAAGGAGTGTAATGGAAATAATAAAGAGATCTAATGGTGTTACAGTGACACCAGAAATAACTTCTGCACTTCAGTGACCAGACTATATTATCCTATTCTTAACTTTGTTGCATAGGGTATAATGTATTTGACCCGTCCTTCCATCAGTCTTGTTCTTGTCATCGCAACTTCTCTGAAACCACACAACAGAATTTCATGTAACTTTATAGATATTATTAAGGACATACTATGTGCATATATATATCAACAGGAATTAAGTTATGATTCAATATATTTGACAACACAACTCCTCTGAAACCACACAACAGAATCTCATGAAACTTTGTAGTTAATGAGGACATAATTTTTGGGGCCCTTTATAGCTTGCTGTTTGGTGTGAGCCAAGGCGCCGTGTTGAAGACTGTACTTTGACCTATATTGGTTTACTTTTATAAATTTTGACTTGGATGGAGAGTTGTCTCATTAGCACTCATACCACATCTTCTTATATCTATATAATATTTAGTTGTGCATGTCCACAAGAAATGTTTATCAGTCGACTTTTGTAGGAGTTATGAGTCATTGAACTTAGGAATCTGGTGAGATTTTGTTTACCCAATGACAATGTGGGAGTGTGGGGTAATTGTGAACGCACTAACCATGCTAACAAAGGTTCTTTAATTTTTTAAGATAGGATTGAAGAATATTACTTTTTTAAGTAATGAATCTTATCATAACTCCAGTCCTACTTAGATACTTGAAATAATTTTTTTCAAATTTTGCATCATATATATTTCATCTAAGTTGAAAAGACATATTAATCATGTTAATGGTATATATATCATTATCATTTCAGATGTATATCAACACAAAATCATTATGCCAATCTAAAGATAAAGCCTAATGCTTCTGCAAAAGAAATAAAAGAAGCTTATATTAAGTTGACAAAAGAGGTAACTATAAACTTCTGACAGTAATGTATAGTGGGTTATTTTAACAGGACATTCATTGATGCTTCTTGTAGATGTTTAGTGTATAAACAAAAAAGTCAACAAATTAAAACACTGCACAGTATAGTAGCTAAACCTTTGATTCCTGTCTTCATAAATCTTCTAAAGATAAGTTGACTCTTCTTATTAAAAATGCAGTGCCCTTGGAAACATTCTTTGAAAAACGCTGTGCCCTTGGAAACATTCTTTGAAAAAATACAGTGCCCTTGGAAACATTCTCTGAAAAAACGCTGTGTCGTTGGAAACATTCTTTGAAAAAATGCTGTGCCCTTGGAAACATTCTTTGAAAATATGCTGTGCCCTTGGAACAATATTTGAAAAAATGCAGTGCCCTTGGAAACTTCTTTGAAAAAATGCTGTGCCCTTGGAACAATCTTTGAAAAAATGCAGTGCCCTTGGAAACTTCTTTGAATAAATGCAGTGACGTTGGAAACAATCTTTGAAAAAATGCTGCGACTTGGAAACATTCTTGGAAAAAATGCAGTGCTCTTGGAAACATTCTTTAAAAAAATGCAGTGCCATTACAAACACTTCTTAAAAAAATACAGTGCATTTTGTGGAATCTCCTTTTAGAAATTGGGTACCCTGTGGGGTTAATAAGAGCATAAATACCATATTCTATTTTCTGTTCACAGCATCATCCAGATTCTAATCTCAATGATAATGCCAATCATGACAAATTTGTGAAAATCAATGAATCCTACCAAATACTGATTGATTTAAAGAAACGACAGGAATACGATCAATCTAAAGGATACAGTAAAAAACCACCAGGGAAAAGTTCTCGTACAAATTCAGCATATCAGCAGAATACTTATGCAAATTATCAGAATGCTTATACAGATTACCGCAGGTAAGTTCAGAAATTTGTATAAAGATTATGATACTGGTTCATTGGTTAGAGGTATGCCAACACACATTTCCTGGTATTTCAATGATATACTATTGGTACTTGTAATGATGGTATTGGAGATACAATACAATAAAGAAACTTTCCTGAAACACTTAAGCTATAAAAAATAATTAACATTTTTTATGGTACCAATTACAACTTAAAGGAGTAGTGAAAAATCATTAATCAATCATTTTTTATGGTACCAACTTAAGGGAGCAGTAAAAAAATCATTTATCAAAAGGGAAAGACAATACTATGACTTAAATAAATAACAAACCATCATTTTGGTCAGTTATGTTGTATGTCTGCGATGTATATTTTCACACTTTTGGTTGCTGGATTATTGTCACATTAACATATTATGTCTGTTTGGGTTGTTCACCCAATATAACAGAGCTCATAATAAATAACTGTCGTACAAGTAGGACATCAGCTAGCTGTAAAACCAGGTTTAACCCATCATTATCTTCAGGAATATGACAGTTGTTTTCCATTCATTCGGTTGGTTGATAAAGTCTTAATTTTCTTATGGACTTTATTTATTATTTGAATTAACCTTGGAGTTTGGTATTTTGGTTATACTTTTCTTTACCATCATGACCATAGTGAACAATTAATCTACATTCAAAAATTAAAACCTGTCTCTCAGATGGCACAGGTGTTGGTTGTTTTGTTATAAAAAAATAAGGTGAAAAGCTGTTTTAGTGATATAAAGTCATGTGCAATAAAACGACTTGTTCAGAAATAATAATTCTTAACCTGCAATTTGTTAAAGTTTTGATATGCTAATGTATAAATATTTCACTATCTTTTTAGCAATGAGGATAAAAGACGTGAAGAGTTACGAAGGAAACATAATTTTGACCAGTTTAAGAAAAGCAAAAATAATTTAAGTGATCTGGTTGACATAGGATTAGTATTAGGTGCATTGACAGCATGTTATTTTCTGATTATTGGAACTCTATCGTAAGTTTAAATTATGTTTTTTTTATATCTTACTACATATTGTGGATTTATAGGTTTCTCTCGTTATTTAATTTGAATAGTAATAATAAACTCGCCATTAGTGATATCCAATTCTCACAAGTTGTTATTCCTATTTCTCTTATGATCAACACTCTCATTGTGTTTTATAAAAAATTCTGTGAATTGTTGATCTAGTCTTTTGAACATACATGTACCAACCAGCATGACATCATATGTCCTTCTCCGGCATCAAACTTTAACATCAGACATTCTAAATATTTTTGTACACTTCAGAATGTAATAGAATTTGATAAAAAGAGGATTTCTTGGTGAAAAGTGTGAGTGTTTTGTATATTATCGAAGAAATCACATATATAGCCATTGCCATTGACAAAATGTACATCGCCTTAACCTTTGAAAGTTTGCCATGGTCTCATGGTTACGCGATTGCTCCTAGTGAAGAGGGCCCTCAGTGATTAATTGTCAAGGTAATTCATCAAAAGTGATCACTTGCCAGTCCACACTGGTTGTTGATTCGATTCCATCTCTTGGCAAGGAGCTTTTGAATTGGCCCTGATTTGTACTTCCACTTTTTCCACCAAGATATAGCCAATATCTCCTACCAAATTTTTAAATATCCTCCTCTGTATTAATTTTATTTTAATAGAAATTGCATCTTGCATTGGTATGATATATTAATAAGTTAGAGATGTAACAATCTATACAGTATATATACCATGTCTACAGGTGAAGATTGAAAATGACTGAAAAAAAATAATGTAGTGAAAACAGTCTACACCAATACCTGTTCAAACTCAAACCTTTCTCAACAGAACTAATCTATCAGTTCAAACGTTGCAGATTCTTCAGTTCCAATAAATTAATCAGAATGTTCTTTTCTGAATTAAGTTTCAGGTCCTGTTATGATCGGCGTCGACAGGTTCTGTAATGATCACTGTAGACAGGTTCTGTAATGATCACTGTAGACAGGTTCTGTAATGATCACTGTAGACAGGTTCTGTAATGATCACTGTAGACAAGTTCTGTAATGATCACTGTAGACAGGTTTCCAAGTAATTCCAATGCTAGGTCAAAGTTTTCAGCATACAAATATGTAGCATGTGTAGTATTACAAATCTTCACAACTCAATCAAAATTCAATGAGAGGTATTTTTTAAACCCTACCTCACACAACAATGTTGGAGGAGGATTTTGAAAATGAATAACTTGGTCTGTTAAGAACTAAAATTAAGTAACTATATTTTGCAACATAAATAATGTAGGATAGTTGAGTGGTTCCCAAGACTTTGAGAAATCAATTGGACATTTGGTCCAGTAAAACCAGGGGCATAGCTGGACTTAAATAAAGTGCAATCATAACTAATTTTTTTGGACCATTTTATGCAGAAAATGATTAGTTTTTTCGGGCATTTTCCCGGTATGCCATGCTTTTGAAATTCACATCACTCCTTCACGCCCAAACTCCTATTTTGTGAATACTTGTGGACTTTATATGGATTCGGCAAGGGAGGAGGCTATCATCGGGACCGCTCAAAGTCCCCAACTGGTCCAGGGTAGCACCCTAGTCGGGGATCCAGGGCAGCATCGTATACGGTGGTCCAGGGAAGCGAATCCCCATGAAGCTCCGGGCATATGAGTAATTACAGTGACTGCTTTGAACATGAAAAATACCCTATCTGTTTCTTACTATACCATATTTTCATGAAACGATAGAAAAAGTCTAGTGAGTTCCGTAATTTGCTGCTTATATTAGTAACATGGTTATTTTCAAATATAAAATAAATTTTATAAAACGGGAAGACCAGGAAGAGTCGACAACCGAAGCGCTAATCAATGGACAATTGACAAACCCGGGAACAGATAAGACACAAAAGGAGAAACAAAAACATTCAACATTGAAAACTAAATACAGATGAAAAACACGGACCCAAAACAACAATGTGGCGACCTCAGGTGATCCGGAAGGGTAAGCAGTTACTGCTTTTTGCAAGACAACGTAGTGTTTCTCACGAAAGTCATTCTCAAATCAAAGGAGAGGTTTCTACGACAACGGTAGAAGGTCATTTGGGACACAGATACCCCAGGTGAATGAATAGTCTTTTGGACGAACGGACAATAGGAATACGAAATCTAACGGCCACTTTTAAGTCTTGACTTATAAGTAAGGGAAATAAATCTGAGATGTTTTCAAGGTGATTGTATTGAGCCTGTGTCATTAAATGTTAATACTGCATGTAAGACTTAAAGTATATTAATATCGAAAGTCAATATATCTATTTTTTGCCAAGGCAAATGATCGCAGAACTCTCTCGGTGTTGATATCCATTTCTTTGTGAACATGTATGAGCGCCAACGAAGATAGTCTGTCCTGTTCCATGGTTGAACGGAGAAGTTTTCGGTAGCCGTAATGCACTAAATGACCGTTCAGTAGTTGATGTAGTTACTGGCATTGTAACTAGAGAAGATTGCGAATATTGAAGGATATAGTTCCTTATTAGTCACTGCTGGAGACGACATCAGAGATTTGGGCTTTAAACACCGCCCGACACGATAATCTGTAAAGACTAAAAACTATCCGTAATTCAATTTCAGAATTAATTTTTTTTTTCTTGAAAAAAATGTGCAAGCAAATTATTTTTTGCGTAAAGGCAGCTACGCACCTGAAAACATTCTTCTTAACTGGACCAGACTCTTTTTTACAGGACATTTACACCTATGATTTGGACAAAATTAAAAATTTTACTGGTCATTTGGTCTAGTAATGCATATCACTTAAATGGACCAAACCAATTTTTACTGGTCTTTGCCCAATGTCCAGTGACCTTGGGAATGACTGGTATACACATTTGTATAAAAGAGAAAATAAGTTTTCATGCGGGAAAGCTGTGGGAAAAAACAAGCATGCATAGCAACAGATGAAAATAAATGATCAATTTGGAAATTTTTTTTTACCCTCATTTTACTTACATTAGTAATATTTTCTATTTATAGGAGAACAGTTGGAAAAGCCCAGCAAGAAAAGCATGCAAAGTATGCCAAATATTCCAAACTGTACACAGATGATATTGATCAAATATTGGAAAAAGGGGGCAAAAACTGGTATGTAGAATTGAAAGGTCCAGTTATATATTAACAACCATTCAATCTTTCTGTTAGCAATACAGTTACTATTGATCATGTAGAATGCTTACAAAGAAATTCCTATTACATTTGAACTTATTTGTATATATTTAGGGTCTTTATGTAGTTTTGATATTTGCATTCTAGGGTGTTGTGTTAATGTTGATTTTATATGCTTTTTATGCCCCACCGTAGTCAACAGGGGCATTAAGTGTTACCCTTGACATTCCATCTGTCTTTCCGTCCTAAATTTCGTTTCCGCACTCTAACTTAAGTTTGTCTCATCCAAATTTTATTAAACTCATACACAATGCTTAGAACCACAACACGCAGACAGAGTTCGAATTTGGGTTATGAGTCGTTTGCCATTCTAGAGTTATGCCCCTTTTCAACTTGGAAAATAGCAAAGCTTGAGCGGGGGCATTTGTGTCCTCAGACACATTGTTCTTTTATTTTACTTCTCCTTTAATTTTGGAATGTGCTAGCTACTTCAGGATGTTAGCGAAGGTAGCTTCATTTGTTGGTTGGATACTGAGGCTTAAAAAACCACAAAGGCCCATCTGGGATCAAAGGATGAACTTTAAATGATATTTTTTAAATGCAGTGTAATCAATGGTAGATTTATATTTCTTTTAAAATTGAGTTTTAAATACATATTACTGACATGTTATTGGATTTATTATTATGGATAAGAGAGGTGGGAGAAATTAAAGGGATATTTATACTCATAGGTCAATAACAAACTGTCAATGATGAAAAAAAAAGTCGACCAAACATATCTTAGAAAAACTAAAGTCAGAGTAACTTGAATCCCACCAAAATCTGGATATATCTCAAATGCTCTGGAAAAGTAAGCAGATCCTGCTCCACATGTGGCACCTGTCTTGTTGATCATGTTAGTACACATTCGGTGATAAATAGCATAAGTTGATAAATGATGATTATCTTGCCATCAAATTTCACTTCACAAATTTCGATTGCAGGGATGAAGCAGATAAATGGATAGCTAGAGAATACATAGCCAAACATTATAGAGAAGGTATAAATATGTTTAACCTTAATATGGTAGAATGTTTTATATTAATGTTTTATATTATAACTTGTCTCTTACAAGGGTATTTGCAAAACTTTGGCCTCTATGAATATAACTTATAGAAAACAAGATAACTTGACACATAACTGAATGACCAATGAACCAGAAAATAGAGTAGAACTACAGTTTTAAGAAGAAATAAATACCAAGAAAATAAGATGCCATAACTCTTAAGATACATATAATAAAACTAATAATTAATATCAGTTATTTTGCTAGAAAATAAATATTAATTTAAAACACAACACTCTACCACATAAACTTGATGTATATCATCATCACAAGGACAAGAAAAAAGTAAAATAACAAAAATACCAAACTCCAAGGGAAATTAAAAACGGAAAGTCCTTTATAAAATGGCAAAATCAAAAGCTCAAACACATCTAATGATTGGAAAACAACTGTCATATTCCTGACTTGGTACAGGCATTTCCTTTTGTAGAAATTGGTGGATTTAACCTAGTTTTATAGCTAGCTAAACCTCTCACTTGTATACAGCCGCATAAAATTCCATTATATTGACAACAATGTGTGAGCTTTAACAAACAGACATAATAGGTAAAAACTTCAAAAATTGGGGTACAGCAGTCAACAGTATAATATAATCTTAATCACTATAAAAACAAATAACTGTTTCAAGAAAGAAACACAAAATGGCATATAGACAAAGTACATAAGCAAAAATGAAAGACAAGAACTCAAAATTTACCATAGCGCAATGGCGGGATGTATAAATACCGATCCACATCATAAGTATATAATCAGAAATGGATAAATTTTCAATTGAACAATGTCATAGTGTTAAAAATACAACAATAGTGACAACAATAAGAATGAAGAACAATACAGATGCAGATCCAGATCTAGGATTCTTAAAAGGGAGGCCACCAAATTTGAAGTTCAATAAAGGGAGGTGCAATCCCTCCTCTAAATCTGTCGTCTCTTCAATATTGTAAAAAATTGCAGTCATTGCCCATAGAAATATATATTTCTTCACAGGAAGAATACATTATCACAAAAAAAGCATTGTCTTTAGACCAACATTACAAAAATGCATCATCACAAAAAAGTTATCACAAAAATACATGATCACAAAAAAGCACTGTCACAAGAACAATATCACAAAAAAGCACTGTCACAAGAACAATATTACAAAAATGTGCATTTTTACAAAAACTCAATTTCTAAAAAAACAACAAAATAGTATCAATCTGTATTATATATAAACCTGTTAATGAGTTTCTTAATTTTCTACAGGTAAAGGCATCAAGAAGTAGAACAGGGAAGATTTCTCCTATCTAAACTTTTTTATAAGTCTTACTTTGTATTTATATGTTATGTACTATTTTATTTGAATGATAAAAGAATTTTACTTTTTATTATACCTGTGTTTTATATTATGATTAATATGTACTGCATTTTACATCCTTGAAGGTTACCAAGTATAATCATTTTATAACAGTTGATATCAAATTTGAACAGTATGCATGTTAGTTTAAACAAAGTGATGCATAAATGGCTTAAAGGGGAATTAGCTGTCAAATTCATGTTCACGGATTTGACTCAAATTCTCATATTGATTTATAACATACTAAAATGTATATCCAAATTATAAAAAGTCTAAAATAAACAATTTACGATGCACAGACTCGATAATATGTATCAGCATTTTATATGTATTTTGGTCTAGACGCCATATAATAAACCATTGAGGTGACCTCTGAAGACTGCCCACGGTCATATAACCCGATATAAACATAAATATTGATATAAATAGATAGCAAACACGTGCAATTGGATTTTTCTAGGTCTGTTTCATTTCATATTATAGGTTAAAAAATATGTTAATCATCCTTTTTACCTGTACCTGTAAAAGAATGCATTTTTGTGGATCGAATCAGTCAACCAAATGGTTTACCCACGTTTTACTTTCAATGTTGACATTATTTTCCTTTTAATAGCTGTACATTTCTAGTTTATGTGTAAACCATCTCTAGCTAAGGGGTTAAATAGAAGGTCACATAAATAAAGATTCTGATTCAATGAGGTCGAATTATTCACTTGCAAGTGAATAATTCATCAGCAATGTTTCCTTACTTATTTTGACAAAATTGAACCAAACTGGCTGCTTAAAGCCAATTATTATTTCACTATTACACCTTCATTAATGAAAAAAAAAAAATCTGATTTAAATTTTTTTTTTATCTCGTAGCTAATGCCCCTTTAAGAACTGATTTTATTAGGAAACAAGCAAAAAATGAATAAAAGGAAATATTGGATATAAACCAAACCGTCAGCAATCCAATGACACAGAAAAACAAAAACATCAAATGTTGAAACTTTTCAACATAGAAAATGAAACTAAAAAATATATCAATATAAAAGTAAGGAGTTGTGGTATGATTCAGCATGACTTGGAAAATCAGCTAAAAAGCGCAAATGATATATTGCCTAGCAGAATAATATTTATTGCAATAAACTATATCAGTATTTTGAACTAAATGAACATAACAAAACAATTAATTATATTGACTGATTTATTTATTATTGGTGTTTAACACCACATTCAGCACTATTGCGCTATTTTGTGGCAGTCAGTTTTTATCGGTGGAGGAAGCCAGTGTGTCCGTAGAGAACTACAGACCTTCAGTAGGAAAATTTACAATCCTAGTCAATTAAGATTTGAGTCAAGCGCACCTGCCAAGTACTGGATTCAAACTCCAACCTAAGTGTTTACAGGCTAAATATCAAAATATGTCATATTGTTTACCAGGTGAGTGATCAGGCTCTTGTGAATCTTTTGTTATGAGCAATAGGATGAATATATTAGGTATATGGGATCCTTGTAAGGTCTATTTGTCGGACAGTGTTCACCTGATCTCGACCTCATTTCATGGTTCAGTGATCAAGATTAATTTTTCGTGGTAAAGTCCGTATCTCAGATACTATAAGCAGTAGGTCAACTATATTTGGTGTATGGAATAACTGTAAGGTTTTCATGTCTGCCATAGCAGGGTTCATCTGACCTTGACCCTATTTTTTAGGTGTATTGATCAATCTCAAGTTTTCCTGGTTAAGTCCTCTTCTCTCTGATATCATAAGCAAAAGGTGAACTATATTTAATGTCTGCCTAGCAGGGTTCATCTGACCTTGACCCTATTTTCTAGGTGTATTGATCAATCTCAAGTTTTCCTGGTTAAGTCCTCTTCTCTCTGATATCATAAGCAAAAGGTGAACTATATTTAATGTCTGCCTAGCAGGGTTCATCTGACCTTGACCGCATTTTCTAGGTGTATTGATCAATCTCAAGTTTTCCTGGTTAAGTCCTCTTCTCTCTGATATCATAAGCAAAAGGTGAACTATATTTAATGTAGTATTGATGTTAAGAGGAAATGTCTGTCTGGCAGGGTTTATCTGACCTTGACCTTTTTGTCATGGATCATTCATAGTTGCAAGTGTATGTGATACTTGCAGAAAAAACTTTTGCTCTTTAAGGATTTCAACATAAAATCAATTCTGCTCAGTTAAGAAGACTAGACATTTTTGCATGTGCACTCTTGTTAGAATTAATACCAAAAAGTATGGAATAAACGTAATTTCCCTTTCCTATTGTTAACTTTCCTTTCCTTGATGGTGATGTTACGTTGCACTATCCTATAATATATCTAAGAGTATACATTTCTCAGTTGGTACAATATGGGCTTGCGTATCTCCAGTGACTTCTTGGATCAATGAACATATCATTATTTAAAATAAAACTTTTAAAGCCAGTATATAGATATCCTAAATTGGTCAAAACCTTTTCTAATCTTTATCACAAATACAGTCTTATATTGAAGCAGAATACATACAAAATCTTCTCAAAGACTAAAAGAAATACAACATCTTGCAAAGTCCTTTAAGAGTACGACCATTTAATTTTTGGGAGGTGGGTATATATCCACAGCGGTCTCTATATTATCAGTGACCGCCGTGGATAGCAAACTAGGAATAGATAGTAAATAGAAAATACTTGTTAGATCTAGTATATAATTTTTTTTATGTTGATATAATTTAGGGGAAAAAGAAAAATAATTGAAATGAAAGAAAACAAAAAATTAACGGATATGTGAAAAAAGGGGAGGACTAAAAAAGTGTCCTGTCCAAAAGTACCTATGGATTTGTGATATAAATAAAATTGCTGACAGCTTGAACTAAAGTACACAAATGCACAGTAATATTAGACACTAATCACGTTACCATTTTATCCAATGAGAATGCAAGGTCTTTGATAGCAAAACTACGGAAGCCCATTCAGCACCTCCAAAAATTATAATTTGAATTCCCGAGTCTACAGGGGCATTTCCAGAAATTTTTCAGAGGAGTGTTACCAAAACGAACTTTTCAAATATATTTCAATATTTTTTATTGACAATTAAGGTCAGTTAGTTAGTAACATAACAAATGGTAGCACATGGGTTTCAAAATTGATTCTAATTTTTCCGTGTTTGATCACCTTAAGTGTTTTGTGATTGCGTGCAGCTACTCGAAGGCACGACAGCACGTGCATCCACGTCGTTTTCCCTTCACTAATCACTAGCAATCCGACAAGAACGATGACTCAGCATCGGTGTGTTTGTAAAATCACGACTTTAAGTTAAGGCCAATGCAAAGAAAGGGGTGGGCCATACCCCATTTTTACCTGGAAATTCATAATAGTTCTTGCAGTTAAAATGAAAAAAATGCGGCCTTATTGTGAAAGAAAAAGATCCAAACACTCACCCTTTAGAATTTCTAGGTCCATGAGTTGGTACAGGCAGTTATAAAGAAATTGGACAATAGATACGGGCCCCCTCATATACAGAATGTATTTTCTACGTTTATAAATTAGTTGTGCAATCTGTTGCCCCCACCATTTAAAAACGGCTGGATTGGTTCTCACATAATGCATTTATCGTGAATTTTCTATTTATCCTCCCGTTCCTTGCCCAACGGAGTACGGGGTATACTGGTTACTGTGTATCGCTGTCCATGCGTCGGTCCGTAATAACTTTTTTCTCAGCAACTATTCACCACAGCAAAATACTCCTCAATTTCCTACTTCCTATTTCCCCGACCTTTTTTTATTTTCGTACATATGGTCATACATGGAAGTTTTCGTGTCATTTTTCTCAGGAACTATTTCTGGCAGAAATCTAATATTTAGTAACAAGCTTCATGAATTTTTTACCTGTCAGTTCCGGGTTATGTTCAATTATTGGGAATTACGTCCCCTTTCAAAAATTTCTTATCTACCCTTGCATACAATACAGTTTGATCCCACGGTGAATTTTATACGAAAATGTGCAAACAAGCTATTTTAATGTCCCGCCGTAGGCAATGGGGGCATTAAGTGTTACTCTTGGCCGTCCGTCTTTCCGTACGTCCGTCCCATTTTCGTTTCCGCACTCTAATTCAAGTTTTCCTCATTCAAATTTTATGAAACTTTTACACAATGATAAAAACCAAAACTCGCAGACAGAGTTCGAATTTGGCTGTGAGTCACTTACCATTCTAGAGTTATGCCCCTTTATAATGAAATTCTGTGAGTTTCCGCATCCTTAAGTTTTCCTCCTCCAAATTTTATGAAACTCATACACAATACTAAGAACCAAAACTCACAGACAGAGTTTTACTTTGGCGACGTCATTACCTCCCCTATAGCTGCATGAATCGTATGCCCTAAAAATGAAGTTCTGGAATCCATCAATTTGTGGTTCAAGTTGTATAATACCGTTTATAGTCTCTACTGAATATTAAAAAGGATTCTGACAGAAAATTATGTCTTCTTTTAAATGCTTATCAGCATCAGGTGTACGAGACAATGATGCAGGCGTAAAATGGACCGATTCGAGGAGCGGTAGTTGACCCTGTAAAATTTTAAGACTTATCAGTTAAGGGCATCCGATACAGAAAATATTTCTCGTGGACCATTTTCTCAGTTGTCAATACAAATGCATGTATGTAGGTCTGGATAGGGGGTCCATAATTCTGTATTCTTTAAATTTTAATGACATTTTTCTTTATCTTTAAAAATAATGCTTATTCAGTAAAATTCCTTTTAAAATAATTTTGCTATTATTTTTTTCTGTAATTAGATGATTTATCATGTGTTTATTCTGTACATCGTTCATTTCTGTAATCAGTATAATTTTGCCTAATTCTTTAATTTTCCACACTTCTTCTGTATACTAGTACTTTTGCATCCCAATAATCTCTTATCCTTTATATGTTTTGCTCATTTTTCTCTATTCATTTTTTTTTTGCCGCAATAAATCTCTATTCGGTAAACCCCATCTAGACCCTCGTATATACAGACAAAATTTACCGTTGATATAATATTCCTAAAGCACTACATAGTTGATTGCAAAAGAAAAAAATGGGGGTCTATGTGTTATTTTTTGTGTGCTAGAAATAGAAAATCTAGTGTTTAAATGCTGGAGATCCAATTTCCAGGCTTTGTTGAAGCTAAATCCGACGTCTCATTGTAGGCTCTTTTTGATCGAGTTAAGCCATTTCAATTTATATTTTATTGTTTGTCCTTTTTGTGTTGTAATGTTATACCACTATTTCAGGTTAGGGTGAAGGTTGGCGCCTGTTAAAACGTTTAAACCCGCTGCATTTTTATGCACCTGTCCTATGTCAGGAGCCTGTTGTTCAGTGTTGTCGTTTGTTGGTATGGTTCATAAGTGTTTCTCGTTTCTCGTTTTTTATATAGATTAAACCGTTGGCTTTCCTGATTGAATTGTTTTACACTAGTCTTTTTGGGACCCTTTATAGCTTGCTGTTCGGTGTCAGCCAAGGCTCCGTGTTGAAGGCCGTATTTTGACCTATGATTGTTTACTTTTTACACATTGCGACTTGGATGGATAGTTGTCTCATTGGCACTCATACCACATCTTCTTATTTATATTTATAATGCAACATCATCGTGCAGCTATCCCACACTACTTCAAAAATGCTATACACATTATTGTCATATATGAATTAATTGATGATGATAGCGAAGGTAAACAGTCTTCATTTTAACATTAATACACCATATTATTGACAGGGAATTTGTCGGGTAGTTCTTTATTGGTTACACCAGATTTGATTAGATATCGGTATTCAGACAGATTATTAGGTTTACGACATTCGAAAACTGGTCGAAACTGTTTCGTAACGTCAACTGTAGCATTTGTTTACAATTTACTTATTTACAGAATGTGAAGATCAGACGTCTGTTTCCTAATTTGGTACCAGAATTATTTGTAGTATAGTCGAATGCATAAAACATTGACACCCGATAAACAATTTCAAACAAGTCCTCCTATGTTTATGTCGCCTGAATATCCGTACATAAAGTCATAACTGTTTATTTATATTCAGTCACAAATTATACAGGATTCTACTTACTTTGACTTATTTCTCATTAATTGATAAATTTGCCTACACAGGTGGATGCAAATCACTGTCCTTAGATACAAACTCTCAGTCTCTTGGTAACTTTATAATTGCAGTACATGTACACTGGATAAGAGCTATATAGATATGATAATAAATTAATGAACCCTGTGTCTGCTGATTATGATTCTCAGCATTGAGTCTATACACCGCAGAGCTATTTGTCCTCCATTGCTAGAATTTAGAAATCACAGATGTTTCCATAAAATTTTGACTTCACAATGCAAAAGTGATTGTTGTATGAAGTCAGTAGTTAAAGTGTCGCTAAATCTCAGGGTCTAGTGCAGAGTTTGCAAAAATCATTGGACATGTCAACCACTGTAATATTTTGCACTGGTACCTTTGTCTACATTGGTTGAGAGTTTCAGTGTTTTACATTTTTATTTTTGTAAACATCATGAACATGGTAAATGTTGGAACCTGGGAACAGTATATCTAACGGGAAATGAATCTGATACGCTTTTCAGTATAAAATTGATAAAATCTCGGACTCCCCGAGACTTCCCAAGATTTACGGATTTTGGTAGCGTCTGACTGAAAAACTATCAGAACTGCTCAACAAATAAACCACATAACTCTAATTGTAAATAAATACAAGTTTTATCATTTAGTAGATATATTTTGTCATATAAAATTACCAAAATAAGTTTGATTTATTTGATGTGAAGTGTTTTATAATAGTTTGGGAATTTGTAAATCATCGCGGCAATGGCCGCCATTTTTTTATTACCTGGTTTGCATTCTGCACAATTCTGTGATGAAATGCTTGCGATTTTAACAAATTTGAAGTGACAGAATACAAGTTTGATACACTAGCATCACTATAAAACTAGTTTGAATGACATTTAATTGATAATATCAGAAATTATTAGGATAATAGCGAGTCCGTTTTTAACACATGTCCGTTTCTGTATCGTATCTTTATTAACTATGGCACGACGATAAAACCGACTACAATCAGGTAGTGTCAAGCCCCGTCAATATATATGTTCCTGGTTGGAACCGATAAAAGTGATTAACAAATTAATGGCCATGGTGCATGTGTGACCCATTAAGTTTGTGGATGGGACATAGGCTGGAATTTCAGGAAAGGTGTCTTAAATGATTGACTGAAATGAAACCACAAAGATGAAAATCAGAAATTTAAAAAATGAAGGGCAACCAAATTTTTTTTAAGAACTGGCAAAAGTTTAATTTTAGCACCCTTTCAGTCCTTGATCTGACAAAAAAAAATGCAATGTTGTGAACTCTGCTAGTATTAACTTCATTTGAAATAATCATTTTTCTATCATAAGAAGTCAATCTTGAAATATCAATTGGTAATATATACAGTCAAGGGTGTACATGTAACTTAAATAAGTTATTAGAGAAAAATAACATACATGTCGTTATTGTGGGCTAAAATATCAAAAAAATATGATAACATATGTATGTTACATGTTTAAAAGAGGCAATATACATCCTTTACTTTGTTAAATTGTATACAAGTTCTATTGGTATTATTATTGTCTTTATGTATACTAAACTTTAAAAAGATATAACAGTTCATAGTTTGCCAATCATGTATAGTACACCTATGTTATTACAGAAAATATATGCCTGTAATAACTAAAGGGTGTTATTACAGCTTCTCTTCATCTCTTCAAAGCCATTTCTCAGACATATATCACAATGTATTTTAATTTATTGTAAGAAATAATGATCAGAGCATGCAATGAGGTTCTGCCCAAGATTCCAAGTAATTAGCAAGTGTCTCATTTTATAAGTTACATGCATATGCCTGTAATAACTAAGCCTTGTTATTACAGCTTAGTGTATCCCTTAAAAGCCTTGTCTCATTGATTTACCATAGTTGATCAAAAATGTATTAATTGAATTGGAAAATTAATTATCAAGGTTATGTATTAAGTTTCTGCGCAAAGTTTCAAGAAATCCCAAGAGCCCACTAAAATTAAAAATATTTTTGATATATTAACTTATAACAAACATATGTTACTACAGATTAAGAATGAAAGAGCAGACATCTCATGAAAGTATCTGTAACAACAGTTCATTATTATAACACGCATGTTATTTTTCTCTAATAACTTATTTAAGTTACACCCTTGACTGATATATATACATTGTATTTACACAGAAATCGTGCATTTTATTCAGTTGTGATGTTTCATTTCAGGATATTTCATAAGAAAATACATGTGGATTTGTATCATTGAATAAGTTATCAGAAACTTTAATGTATCAGCTAATAAATGATTTAATGTGTTTAGTATACCAGGAGTGAACTTTTCCTGGGCTGCTCTATTGTGAGTAATGAGATGGAATTGTAACCCCCTTGGGGTTCTCTGATTTAATATTATTGTAAGTCCCAGATCACTCTGAAGTCTAGGACTTGATGGGGCAGTGGTTCAAGCAAGTCATAAAAAATGTGTCAGATGTACAAGAGCAATTAATATTGTATGATTTCGTGCTGTCATACACATGATACATGTATGTATGCATGTGTCATAGATTTTAATTTGATTCTCAAGATTTCTAGATTAATAAAAAAAAATCCCATGATTGCTAATGATTACATAATTTAAAGGTTTCATTTTCTTTCTTTTTAGATCAGGATGTACAGGTGTCTCTTTCAGAAACATTTGGAATTCCAGTTTCTGTCACTTGGCTGTAGGAATTCCAAGCTTTTCTTATTTCATCCTGTAAGGTAATATAAATTAAACAACATTTGTGTTTAACCATATAGAGTCAGCATATTAATTACACAAATCTTATCTTCACAGATAACTGGATGAACTGTCATAAATAATTATAGGTTTCATAAATTGTGAGAATTAGATATCGCTTGTTATCAACTCAAATTATTTAATTTCAATTGTATAGGCAAGTTTATAATTACTATTTGAATTATATAGCAAGAGTTGATATCAAGCATAATCCTATTTTCACAAATTGTTAAACCTATTTCTCTTATGGTAAACATTCTCATTGTGTTAAATAAAAAATTCTGCTTATCGCCAATCTATTCTTTTGCACATACCAGTATGACTTCATATGTCCTGTTCTGGTGTCAAACTTTCAACATGCTATCATATATATTAATGATGTTAATTGTAGGTCTATATCACAGACACATTACCAAGTTCTTGGAGTAGGACAGACCGCTACAGATGGAGAAATAAAATCAGCTTACAAACAACTGTGTAAAAAGGTAAAATAGTACTGGTACACTTCGTCTCAAGTGCATTTTATGAGACATTTTCAAATGCCAGTTTGAATTCCAATGCAACATTGTAAAATTCATTTAGATTATGCCACAAATTCATGAAATTTCATGGCATCAATTCAAACGATTTTATATGGTCTGGAATTGTGAGCTAAAACGCAGACATCTTGTGACTGATTTCAAAATGTTTGATTTAGCAGTTATTTTTTCTAGTTGCATTAGAATGAAGAGTGTAACATTATTGTACTTGGAAGATTAGTCAGTAAATGGAGCTTCTGTCAAATTATGTATGAGTTATACTGTCAGCTCAAATAAACAACATATATCAAAAGTACAAAGTTTGTTGTCACCAAATACATTTCCCTTGATTCCCTAGTGGTTTCTTTTGGAAGCCCTGAAGACAGCACAACTGCAGTAAAAAGACTATAGAACTCAGAGATTTAATGGATTCAAACTGTACAATATATTGTACTTCAAAGGCTATTTCATTATCTAATCTCAAAGAATTAATATGATATGAATAAGATAGTAGGGGACATCCACACATCATCAAACCACTGATTTCAAATGTATTTATTTCTAGCTGCATCCTGATGTAAACAAAAATGATCCTAAAGCACATGACAAATTTACAGAAGTGCAAAACGCTTATTCCACCCTTAGTGGCAAGAGGACAAGATATGAATATGATCAGGAATTAAGATATGGACAGACGTTTGGTCCTGCTGAATCTGATGAAGATTTATTAAGACGCTACAGGTCTACTAAACATGCAGATGATTCCTATTATGGAAATAGAAGTTATGGGAATAGTTACTATAGAAATACACCAAAAGGACAAAATTTGAGCAATGACCCAGTTATGAGAGCATTAAGATATATATCTAGGAATTTCTTAAAAATAGTGGCATTTGGAATTATGATTAATTGTAGTTTAATATTGTAAGTACTACTTTTTTAATGAATTAGGATTAATCTTTTTCTTAATCTGTAGCTTTATATGTATACACTGTATCTTTAAGGCTTATTCCCTATGGACATACTTTTTAAATTATGCAGGATGGTCAAATGATTAGATGCATTAGAAGTTTAACTATCTAGTTAAGTCATTTTATAGGATGTCTTTTTATGTTGTACATGTAATGTTACACTACTGTCTCAGGTTAGGGTGTAGCCTGTTAAAACATTCAAACCCGCTGCATTTTTATGTACCTGACCTAAGTCAGGAGCCTGTTGTTCAGTGATTGTTGTTTTTTGGTGTGGTTCATAACTGTTTCTCGTTTTTTATATAGATTAGACCGTTGGTTTTCCTGTTTGAGTTGTTTTACACTAGTCATTTTGGGGCCCTTTATAGCTTGCTGTTTGGTGTGAGCCAAGGCTAAGTGTTGAAGGCCGTACTTTGACCTTTAATTGTAAACTTTTTATACATTGTAACTTGGATAGAGAGTTGTCTCATTTGCACTCATACCACATCTTCTTATTTATATGTAATTGATTAGAAATTTTCCAGTTTATTGACCTTGCAGATCAAGTACATGTACCATCAGAAAGAGGCCAAGTTCATTGGGCATGTAATTCTTTATAATTAGAATTATAAATATTTATATATTTTAAATATTCTTAATCTTTTAATAGAGACATAAGGATGTGAATTTAAGCAACTAATGGTCACTGTATGGCCTTTAAGGGGGTACCAAACACCTAAGTGAGTTAACTCTTTAAAAATCAACTGAACGTTTTAATCAAATAGTATACCCCGGTAAGTAAAGAGAGATCAAGCCTCTCAATGATCAAAATTAGTGTTTGTCATACTGCTATGTATCCAATGAAATTATTCCTATAAATTTTGTGGTTCAAACTTCTTAAAATTTTCTATTTTTGTCAACATGTTAGAGTAAATAGTTTGTCAAAATTTAATAAAAAAAAAAACGAGCCAAATCTATTTTAGTCAAAGTATTGGGTACCTCCTTAACAATAATCAAAACCGTAATGTATAGTAAGCTTATAAATACCCAAATATGGCAAAATGTGAAACAAATCAATGGAGGTATTCAATCTGATTTATGATTAAATTATGAAGGAAAAAACAATCAAGGACTACCACTGCATTTGTGGCTTCTGACTTGGGACATGCACATAAAGTATAAGACCAATAGACACATTCTTCTTTTATTTTGTATGAGATGATCTTTAATGAAACTGAATAATGATTTAATGAATTTGATTTTTTTTATAATAGATTATCTCAGCGCTATGTAAAGAACCAGCTAGATGAAAAGGACAAACGTTTACATGCTGAAATGCAGTACCTTAATCAGCATTTCCATAATCATGGATTCCAAAAGGCACCCAAAATGTAAGTTTTTTATGATTAATTATCCTCAACAAAGTTGTAGGCAACAATCTTTAAGAATTGTTGCCAGTAAATTATGATTTTTTTATGCCCCCGCTGTAGTGGAGGGGGCATTAAGTTTTACCCTTGTCCGTCTGTACGTACGTCCGTACGTCCTAAAATTGGTTTCCGTTCTCTAACTTTAGTTTGCCTCAACTAAATGTCATGAAACTTATACACAATGCTTATTACAACAAAACACAGATCAAGTTTGAATTTTGGTGGTGTCACTTTTACCGTTCTAGAGTAATGCCCCTTTACAAATGGAAAAATTGCTGAATTTGTCGTTTCTGTTCTCTAACTTTAGTTTGCCTCTACCAAATAATATGAAACTTATACACATGCTTATTACCATAAAACACAGATCAAGTTTGAATTTTGGTGGTGTTACTTTTACCGTTCTAGAGTTATGCCCCTTTACAAATGGAAAAAAATTGCTGAATTTTGTTTCCGTTCTCTAACTTTAGTTTGCCTCAACCAAATAATATGAAACTTATACACAATGCTAATTACCACAAAACACAGATCAAGTTCGAATTTTGGTGGTGTGACTTTTACCGGTCTAGAGTTATGCACCTTTACAAATGGAAAAATTGTTTACCAATTTTTGCACCTTTTGCAATTATCTTGAAAATTAAAACAGTAAAAATGGTCAGCAAATTCATATCTTCAAATAAGTCATCAATGAGTAATGTGTCATCTTACTTAAAGGAGTTATTGCCCTTGAATTACAAGTTTTGACAATAGTTAATGTTTTTGGTTGAAAATTATAAAAGAAAGAAGGGAACTATAAACAACAAAAATTATCAGTAAGATAAGATCTACAAATAAGTCAGCACAACCCAATTGTCAATCGAATTGAGTTATTACCCTTAAATGATTTTTACCCATTTCTGGCATTTATGGTAATTATCTTGAAAACTATAGAGAAACTGTCAACAACCAAATGATCAGGTCTAAAAATACATCAACACAACGAAAGTGTCAATATATTCCTTATAGGAGTTGTTGCCATTAAATGTCAATCAACTCCTTACCTATATCAAGGGCATTTTTGGCAATTATCTTTCATTAACTATTTAATAAAGAGAAATAGTAAATTTGTTTAGCTTTTACCTACTACATATACATGTATATAAAAATAAGGAGATGTGGTATGATTGCCCATGAATGAGACAACTATCCATCCAATTTCAAATGAAATGGATGTAACAATTATAGGCAACAGTACTGCCTTCAATAATGAGAAAAACCCATACTGTATAGTTGGCTATCAAAGGCCCCCACATGAAAAATGTGAAACAATTCAATTGAGAAAACTAACAAAACAATTTATGAAAAAAATATGACCGACATGAACCAAAGACTAATCAGACTCCCTTTTCCATGACTGTTAATTATCAAGGAAAACATATCATAATATTTTAGAGAAAATTATTACTTAGTAATATGTTGCCACCATGTAGTTTGTTACTTGCTGTTGAATGACTTCATACGTAAAAGTTCTATAATTTTTGTTTGTTTTAGTTACCAGCATGGAAAGGAAGAACCTTATAAAGAGGCGAATATAGAATATATATATGATAAACCACAGAGACATAAGAAAGAAGACTTTCTTTATATTAATAAATCATACAAAGAGAAATTACCTGGCGATCTATGAAGTCTTATGGAATGTTTTATAGTGAGATAGTAAGAAATATTTTCTTTGACAGATATTGATTAAATTGACATACAAATATTTTAGGCCACCTCTTAGAAGATTCTTTGTTAGATGTCGCTCCCATGCCTTGTAGGGTTGGGTAGGTAGGCAGGGAATTTATGTTTTTCGACTAACAACATAATATACATGTTTAAGAGAAGAAAACCATATTAGAGCAGGAAAAAATCTTAAAAATGAAATTGAATCGATATGTGTCATAAATATTTCGGGAAAGCTGCCTTTTAGGTGGGAAGGTAGGCAATGTCAAACAATTTAGATTTTATTTTTGGCCATAGCAGACATTCAGAAGTGATATGCTTATTTTTCAAATGTAAATTGACCAGAGGTCAATATTCCATATCTATGTAAAATCAGGACTGATATAAATCTCATGCCAAGATAAATTACATCATAACCATGCAGTATTCTTGGATTTAGTATCAAGGATTTCATTTTTATTTCGCATGTTCCAAGTAACAAATTTAAAATTTTGAATTCTGTCATTTTGCATTTGTAATTAGTACATGTTAAATAAGTATACATTTTTCAGAATATTTATATGTTTAATTTTCTCTTTTGCAGTTTGTATCCATAGGCAATTCGTTTGTATGGTGGCACGGAATGCTGTTGCTTCACCAATTTTAGAGTATTTCTTTTAAATCACACAAAAATATATTTCTTATTGATTTGTGTTGAAAATTTAACATTCTGAAAAAGGGGTGAATGAGTAAAGCTGGGATGTATAATTGTGAACAACGTATATTTGTATGTATTGACGGTGAATTTTAACATTCTGAAAAAGGGGTGAATGAGTAAAAGGGGGATGTATAATTGTGAACAATGTATAAATGTATGTATAGACAGTGAGTTTTAAAATTCTGACAGAAATAAAACATATGTGAGTAAGAGAGAGAAAGAGATTTAAAAAGTATGTAATTGAATGAGAGAATGAAAGAGAAAACAATGGTTTTAGGTAATGATAAAAATGTTTTAAATTATTTATGTAATTTTAAATTGGTGTGGTGAAGACATTTGAAAGACTACCTCTGTTAGTAATTTGATTTGTGGTATTTTATTGATAAAAGCCCTTTTTAAATAGATCCTCTTTTAACATTTATTTGCCCTTATTTTGCATGAGATATTTGCCACTGGGTGGTAAAGAAAAAACAATCAACCTTTTGTTGAAACTGAACTGAACAATAGTGAACAAGCATAGACTATTTTCTTTTCATTTTCATGCATCTGCTTTTATAAAGGATGTTCCGTCCTCTGTTTCAAAATAACAAGCTTTTTAAAAAGACAGTTAAAATTGATATTATACAAATAACAGAATTTTAAAACTTGTTTATGAGATATAATTTGCAATTGTAAATATGGGGGGAATTGATTTTCTATACATTTTCATTCATTTAAAATTGGCATCTTTTTTCTTTCAAAAACTATGAAAAATTAACAAGGATTTTATAATATTTTTAAAATTGGCTAGTTAAATAATATGTAATAAAATTATGAAAAGAAAAAAAGGGGTTAGCCGGCCAATTTTTTATTTGTTACTACATAGATAAAAGTAGAGGATTCCAAGCATCTGACAAAAAGTCAAAAACAAGAGTAGTGAACATCCTTAAAGATACAAAGTATGGATATATTTTCTGATATTGAATTGAGGCTTTTTTTAAGACACAAAAGCTATTTTTGGGTCAGATTACCATAGATTATAACTTAAAGCTATCTTATCAGGTTCTGATATCAATTCCTGCTTGCAAGTAATTATAATTTCTGCGGTTCTATTTTTAACTGTCTTAAAATGTCAATTTTAGGATATATATAAGTATTTGAATTTTGCTTATTCAAATCTTTTTTTAAGAATGGTGCATGATTTGCGGTGTTGTGAAAAATCATTTTCAAAACTATTTGAGGAGTCCAGTCAACATCATTGTCATAAAAAAAGTTGAAAATAAAGTAAATTTGTGAATTTTTTTTTTTATAAGTTATGATCATAGATTTTGGATTATGATTAAAAGTAGTTTTATTGTTTTACAGCAGAACAAATAAACAAATATCCCAAAAATGATGAGGTCTTAGACTCAACTGAAACATTTTTTAATGAGAATCTTTTTAGAACACATTTTATTTCTTAAATGGTACATGTATAGAAGTTTTAGATTGTTACTGAAAATTTGTATTCAACTATGTATTTTGAGGGAACTAATCATGAATAAAGCATTTGATGAATTTATATTTTATATTGTTGATTCCATAACTGTCAACCTCTGAAAATGAAAATGCAGGTCATTCCTATACAAATGTATTTCAGTCGAATTTAAGTATTTATGATAATTAAAAAGATTTTTTAATATATTCTATTATACCAGTTCCTAACAAATATTCACAATTGTGATCTGAATCTGTCAATTAAAAAAAAAATATGACAACTTTGATATCATCTTATTTCTTTATACCATGTAAAACATATTTTACTGTGATAATGGCATAACCTTTGTTAAAAATTCTTCAATTGTAAATACTGTTGATGAATTATTTGTAATAAAAATCTGTTGATGAAGAATGTGATCCACTTTTAATGATTTTAAATCAATATGTTGCTTGTGTACTGAGTATTGTGTGAGCTTATCCTATTACTTAGTAATCTTTTTGACCCCACAAAACTAATTTGTTGTTTATTAGACTTAATTGTTCCCAGAATTTCTGGATGATTAAAATTTAAAAGTTAGAAATTCATCTTATTGCAGGATAACAAGAATTATGACATCTAAACAAATAGTATGTAAACATACTCTGTTGTCAGGATGTTTATAGTTGCTAATTCATTATTTATGAACTAGGGACAATTATCATTATGGAGTCAGAAAAAAAAGTCTGAATAACAAGAAATTGAATTGTGACCTCAAATAAAAATTACATTTTGAATCAAATTTGATGTTGAGGAAGGTCTAATAAGAGATAAAACTGTCTTTCAGCTGCAATATCTCAGATTGGTGTGAAAATCAGTGGCAATTGATTGATTGTTTTACTGCTACTGACAAGAAATTGGTGAGGAGTAAACATTTTTGATCTGTCCACATGTCATTTATTCAGTAATTTCCTTTTGCCTTTTCAAATACATTATAACGGATTGCAACCTTACTTGGATTACGGTCATATATAATGAGAGGATGATCAATTTTTATATTGAGGTCACAAGACCAAAACCATGGTTGCTGCTTGAAAAAAAGACTGAATTTGTGCAGTAAAAGTTCATTTAGACACATTGTCAAGGGAAAGATCCTTATTGATATTTTAGGTCAATAGCTCAAAGGTTGGCACTAGAAGCTAAAAAGAGGAAATATTAAGGTCAAGGTCACAGCTACTAAAATAGATTTATGTTAGCCATTATTACTGTGTATGATCAAAACACAAGCTTACTTCATAAACAGAAACATATATGCCATCCGGTAACTTTTAGATTTCCACCTTAATGGGATATTTGAGCTTGTTTACTAAAGGTTATGTAATCCTTTTGTGATTTGTCCCACTTGGAAATGTAAATGATGTGGGAAATTGACATTGCAAGCGCTCTCACACCTGCATTTTGTATTAGATGTGATGAATTTATGTTGAAGGTTTATATCTGCATTATTATGATCAAATATTTTTGTACCTTGAAAGATTTCCTCATTGAAGTTATATTAAAAGTATGCCAAAAGTCTATATCATCATGATCTTCGATAAAGGTTGACATAAACAATATCCGTGATGAGTTGGAAATGTAGCTCGATTCAAATATTTTAGGATGTTATGCATGATTTGCGGTGTAGTGAAAATTATACTTAATACATACTTGTCATTTTCCGAATTTATATCAATTACTATAAAGGTTGACATAAACAGTATCCGAGATGAGTTGGAAATTTAGCATGATTCAAATATTTTAGTGTGTTATGCCCCAGAAATGTAAATTTTTATGGCAAATCATCATTGAAGGCTCTGTTTCATCAAGGATTACTATTGCAGATAAATGAAATGTGTGTCAAATTGATCACATGAGAGAGGCGAAAGATACCAGAGAGGAATTCAATTTCAGAAGTCGAAAATAAACTGAAAACACATTGGCTAAAAAAGAAAAAGACCGACAGACAAACAATAGTACACAAAACACAACATAGAAAACTAAAGACTGAGCAACACGAATACCACCAAAAACTGGGGGTGATCTCAGGTGCTCCGGAAGGGTAAGCAGATCCCTCTCCACTTGTGGCACTGTCGTATCTGATATTCAAGATAAATTCAAAAGTCAGTCTAGAATTGTTGTCCAGACATGCTGACTCTGTGATGACTCTAGATTTTAAGATAGCGAAGAATTCTGAGTTTAAGACTTAACATGAAACTGCAAATGTGTTTTATGACTTGCAGAGAGTTTAACACCATTTAACTCAATTACCGTAAACTTTTGACATGTTATTAGCCCTGAAATTAAGGAAAGACTGGTAGAGCTAAATAATTCTATGTATGCACTTGCAAATTGTTATAAGAGTAAACCCATTTTTTTCTAGTTATTGATGTGTAAATAGTGCGTTTAACACACAAACTGAATACAAGTCCGAAGGACTTTTGTAAAGTTTGTGAGTACCCGACCTAGTTTACACATGTAGAAAACGTGTGATTAATCCTTATAATTCTTAAGCGAAACATTAGCAATTTTTAATTTACAATTTTTTATTCAGCCAAATGCTGGATCTATGTGATCACTCCGGATTTGGAAATGGTGAGGTTCTAAGTTAAAAAACATACCGTATAGCGGGTTATTTTCGCTGGTGTAAAATTTCGCGATTTTCATTGAATAAGGTATACGAAATATTTTAGCGGTTATTATTTTGGCGGATTCAAAACTTTTATCAATACCTTTGCATGTACACTTTTAAATTGGCGGAATTTATTTTGGCGATTTTGTGCTATCCGCGAAAATAAGCGAAAATTTACACCCCGCAAAAATAACCCGGTATACGGTATCATGAAATTAATTATGTGATTTTATGACTTGCAGAAACTTTATAACCATATCAATCATCTATTTCTGACTATTAACATATTATTTGCCCTTAAATTATGAAAAGATTGGTCGAACAACTACTTTACTGATACAATAGTTTGATAACATCTGCCATTACTTACAAATAATTTCGATCAAATGTGAAAGTATAAATTGGAATAACCTCCACTTTAATGCCATTCTGAATTGACCACAGTTAATATCTCATGTATTACATGAGTGATAACACAATAATATTAACCTCAATAGTAGACATCGTTTCTCTTTTGATCTACACAACATCAAATTATTCTCAGTAATGAATGATTTCTATTTCCAATCATGCCAAAATTATTTAATTGAAAAATGTTAAATTGAAAAGATATTAGAAATCAGTGCTCCTTCTAAAAATCGAAATATCAAAATGAAATGTATCAGTATTGAGAAATTCTCCATTTGTTAACAATAAAATAACAATGTTTTGAGTAAAATCATGGAAATGGAATGAATCCATTCATTTTCAGTGTAATTATATTTTGATCAAATATCAATAAATAATCATAAGATGAGTTAGAACTTTTGACTCCGGATTATATAATTTTTCAACATCTTTTCTGTGGTTGTACATCCTGGTACTCGGTCAAGTAAGAGCAACCAAAATAAGTAAAAGCAAAAACATAATCGGTGTTTTTTAGGGGAAAGTTTACTGTTTTCCGATGATTTTGTGGTGTAAAGAAAATGTTAAGCTGGTAATTTTTCCCCAAAATTGTACCGATTGAAAGGTAGGTTTTACTTCTTTAGCTTGCTCTTACCTAACTTGGTACCAGGATGTCCAACAAAAGAAAAGGTAACCAGTCGAAAAATTATATAATCCGGAGTCAAAAGTCGGTAATATGAAAATAGTCTATTGCATACTTACTTTTGAAAATAGAAATACATGCATTACCAAAAGCACATCTGCTTAATCCACAGTTTTCCTTACGAGGAAATGCTTGTACAAAGTCATGAATATGACAATTGTTTTCCATTCATTTTATGTGTTTGAGCTTTTGATTTTGACATTTTATAAAAGACCTTCCGTTATGAATTTCCTTGCAGTTCGGTATTTTTGTTATTTTACCTTTTACTAATAAATTTCGGGAGACAAGCCTGTTTTATCAACTGAAAAAAACCCACAATTATCTTTCCGAATTTAATGCAAGGGTGATATATCAATTTTGTTTTTGTTCACCATCATACCTGATCTGAAATTAAGCACACAACTCTTTCAGTCTTACCACCAGTGATTTCAATCACTTTGATTGCCTGAAGTATCTAAGAATCAATACAGAATGTAAACATTGAAAAGTGAAAGAATCGGCCCAGAGTTATCATATTGTGCTGTTATCCAGAATTAATAGATATCTAGATATTAGTGGAAGAAAATCATTTTGTAAATATTCTGCCAATATTGGATTTTTTTTTGCTTAATAAGGGTAATTGTAATGCATCTGAATTTCAAAGAATTGTTAAGACGCAGAAAAAGGCTGCCGTAATTATGCTAGATGCACCAATACTGACGCCTACTGTATTTTTCATTGATTTAAAGAGCTAAATTGGTGAATTTCAAATCTCGTATTTCTTAACATAAATTGATTTTTGTTCATAAAATTTTCAATTATAATGCACCTTATTACCTTAGAGAACTATGTTGTCCAATTATAAACCTACACAACAGAACATTAAGATATTATGCAAACAGTAATCTAGCTGTAGTGAGGCATAATAAGAAATAAACACAATTCACATAGAGGTCCTCATTACTCTGGAATAAATTGCCAAATGAAAATTTTTGTACTTCTAAAAGATAATGTGTAGATTTCTTAACTATAAATGGTAGGTAACAACTCTCTCACTCTGTCATGTAAACATGTGTACATTTTATGTTCAATTTCCAATAATAATTTAAACATGGTCAGGCAGAAATGGTAAAAACGTTGTTAGACAGAGAACAAGACTATAATAAATGGAATGATTTTGATCAGTCACCTGCAAGGATGACTTGTGAACATGGTCATACACAAATAGTAAATAAGTTGTTAGGCAGAGGAGCAGACTTTGGTAAATGCGATTCTTCTGGTGATTCACCTTCAATGGAGGACTGTAGAGACTGTCAAACAGAAATAGTAAAGATGTTGTTAGACAGCGGAGCAGACTATGATTTTTGTGTC